GCTGTTCTACGAGTTTCCGAAGGATCAAGAGACTTGGAAGATCGGTCAGCAGTACATGTTTGGCAGCAAGTACTTGGTGTGCCCGGTGCTGGAGGCGGAGAAGAGGAACATCAAGGTCTATCTCCCCCAGTTGGAGGCAGGAGGCAAGTGGAAGCCACTCCTCGAAGGGAAAACGGACACATATGAGGGCGGAAAGTGGATCGAGATTGATGCTCCTCTAGAATGGATGCCAGTGTTCAAGAGGGAGTAGGCCATCGGCGACGAACGATGTCCGTTGATACAACCATCAATAAACTCTACATGTTGCTTGCTAATTCTTCAACCAATGCTGGTAGTGATCGCTCAAAGCTTCCATGACGCCTTGATAAGGTCAGCCGCCTTCTCTCCGATTCCATACGCAGGCATCTGGGTATGACCGCCATTGAGAACGGGCATAATGCTGCAGTCAGCAACTCGAAGGCCTTTGACACCCATCACTGTGAGTGTCGGATCGACAACCGCATTGCGGTCAGATGCGTTGCCCATGGCACAGGTCCCCGCAGCATGGTAACCTAAGGAACAGACCAACGGTCAGCAAGTTGTGGGTGATTGGAATCAGGAAAACTTACAAGTTGTTGCGTTGTCCCGAACATAGGGTATCCAATCCTCGCGAGTGGTGTGCTTGTGATGTACCAAATCGCTGGGCCAAGAACCCTTGACAATATCCTTAGTCCCTGCGCCTTCCATGATAATTTCGTTACCGAAGCGGCACGCCTCAGCCAGAACCTCTACATCCAATGGATCAGAGAGGTAATTCGTGTCCACGACTGGGACAGACTTGGCACCGGTGTCGCGAAGCGTAACTGTACCGCGGGACCGAGGCCGGAAGAGCTCCGCAATCATGCTGAAGGCGTACTTGCCGTCAGTCGGGAACTGATCATACTGCTTCGGACCTCCGTAGCACTCAGTGGTGAAGAACTCAATGTTTGGCTGCTTGGGCGTAAGGCCCATTGGGTCGCGGCCGGGTTGCCTTGGGGCGTTATTCCAAAGCTCTGAGTCAGTGAGGCGCTCGTCCAGACGGGCGTAGGCGAATGCTCCGAAGGGGAATGTAGACAAGAAGCCTGCTTGTTGGTCCTTCCAGAGGGCGTACGTCTTTGCAAAGTTGTCGCCGTGGTAGACGTGGTGGTCGTTGGTCAGACCAGCTTTTTCGGTTTCGTAGAACATGAAGACAATCTTGAGACAGGCTAGGTTAGCAGTAACCCTCGGTATGCAGGCTATGAGGCACTTACAAGATGGTCCATGAGATTTTTGCCGACACCGGGCAAGTCAACCAGTGTCGGAATACCAAAACTGTCGAGCTCGGCCTTGGCCCCAACACCAGATCGGTTGAGGATGTTGGGGCTGCAGTACGCGCCGCCACTTACAATGACTTCCTTGCGGGCCTTGATGTCGACGACAGAGCCATCGGCCTTGACCACCCTGACACCTGTTGCCCTGAGCCCGCCATCTACCTCCTCGATGATAACCTTTTCAACATGGGTCTCAACAAGTAGATGAAGGTTATCCTTCTTGTTTTCCTTTGTGACGAAGTCTGCCGCAGTGGTTCGCAAGCCCTTGTGGACTGTTCTGGGTGCATGTCCACATCCATGAGGATTTTCTCCGTGTGAGAACATGTCGTGGTCTAGCGGCAGTCCTTTGGATACCATGGAGTCCATTATGAGGTTTGAAATAGGAGCGAGGTCATGTGGTTCGATGTTGAGGTGGCCATTAGTGCCATGATCTTTGGAGGCTTCGAACCAAGGTTTTCCGTGAAAGTTCTCTGCCTGATATTCACAAGAGATTAGCGACTTGCAAAGAGACACGGAATTGGAAGCTCAAGAGAGAACAGTGTGGCCAAGAGCAGAAAGCCTCCAGGGTACGGGATTATTACTGACCTTTCGAATGTATTTGAAAACCTCGTCACCCGTCCAGCCTTCGACTCCCCAGTCATCATAGTCCTGCTTGGCACCGCGAATGCATAGAGTACCGTTGCAACCAGAGCAGCCGCCAAGGAACTTTCCACGGCTTAGTTTGACCTGGCGATTGTTGACTGAAGGTTTCTTCTCGCTGATGACGTTCCAATCGGTATCCTTATCGAACAGTTGTGACCAACTATGGTCAAAGTCAGACAATTAGCTCACAATCAACTGTACTAGTAGAAATAATTGCCTACCCTCCTGTCATGTGAACATTCTCAAGATTCTCATTGTGTTCACCAGCCTCGATGACTAGAACATTCACACCAGAATTCTCAGCAAGGCGGCTCGCAACGACGCAGCCGGAGGTACCGCCGCTTGAGGACTTGATGTCAGCCGCCAGCTTAGGTATAGAAAGACATGCTTCATGACGATTAACTTACCCGCATACGATGAAGTCGTAAATAATCTCCTGTGGTAAAGATCCCATGTTGATGAAGGCTACGCTGTAAGTCTGAGCTCGTGGGGAAAAGCGTCTGATGGTATGAGAGAAATGGAAGGCAAGTCACAGGATGGTCCATGGAGCTTGGGCTGGTGCTCTTGTATTCGGACACTGACTGACAATTCCGACAACAATTCCGGGGTTTCTTCCTCGACCACCACACACCCCTCACACACGCCTCGAGCTACGTCTGAAGTCTTCGTGCGGGGAACGCACCTAACATCAGTAGTACAGCTTATAGTAGGCAGCGCCGCTGCCAAGTGCCATTCTAAAGCCGAAGAAGGAAACGCGACCGTCCAAAAAGGAGGCATTCTATAGCGGTATGCAGGGTCCGGTATTAGGATCCATGCATCTACATCACTTCGAGTTTCCAAAGGCCCATATTGAGCCTGTCGGTGGCGGAGTTGTATCCGCAGCTCAACATTTGATAAGAGAAAGGAGAGTAAATGATTTTTTTGTGGATATCCATGAGTACACGCATACGCATACGCTCTTACTTGATCCCATGCTAGTGTAGAGTCTTTTTGGTGGCAATGATACCGTTTTCAGGAGGAAGTCCTACTGGGATTCTGGACTTGTGCCAGTTACAGCACTACCGTGTGCTACATAAGGCACCGACGAGTACCGAATGAAGATCACTCTCTTACGTACAACCAATGAGGACCTGGCAGAGCACTTGAGGCTGGACTGGTTGGAAAATTGGAAACAGCATCTTGAAGGTCTTGGGTTCCATGGGAGCCCTGATACCCGGGCCTGATTTGGACCGTTGGAGAGAATTTGGACCCTGCAAACCTGACGATCTTGCTCGGCGTTGGTGCAGCGGTTCATCGCCTCCAAGTGTCTCCACCCCAGCGACACAGTAAGGGTGCGGCACAGCAGCTGGGCGTGCTGCCATCAAAGTTGCATCCGACTCTTCAGCGGTGCAGGGCGCAGCCGGTGAGCCTTGGTCAAAGATCAGCGTCAATCAGCCGACTCTTGATCATCAGGAGGAACGTTTGGCTATGGAGAGCTCGAACTGTTGGAAAAGAAATTTTGCATCCCCAAATTCGGTTCTGCTGTAATCGGAACTGGGTGACCGGACGGAAAGCTACTAGCTGAGGCTTTGAGTTCTGGGGAGCATGACAAGCGTTGGCTCTAGTTGGAGCTTAGGTTCCCCCGCCAAATCCTGGGGCCCCCGTGGGAAAATCACAGTGGGACAAACCTGAGGACGTCGGGAGATGGGGCCGGACGGGAGAGGCGCTACTCAGGTTTTCATTCCTGACTGCAAGCTCCATTTGGCCGAGAAACGTGTGGATCAAATCACGAAATGCCAATGTTCATCGGCCCGGTTGATAGGGATGCACAAGGAGTTTACGCCGAGAGTAGGCCCAACGACGTTATCAAAGAAAGTGGCCTACCAGACATTCAGAAGCTATCTTATGTTCCAGTATTAAATGGTCGTATCGTCCCATTCTGTTAACTCTCTGCGACGTTAATGCGCGTTTCTAAGACATTGAGGCTACTAAGCACTTAGTGTGAGGGGGATATCCATGGCGCACATGCAAGGTTGATCGGCTTGCAAGCCTACCCCTCTTTCTTGGGGGCTTGCTTGGCAGCGTTCACCTCGTAAGATGATTTGTTTCCGCTGATCCAGAGGAATTGATGTTCCATGTAATTCCGGTTCGAGCTTGCAGTTCCGAGTACCACACTGTCATGGGACTTATTCATGGGCATGTGGACAGGATCCAGTATCATTGGGCCGAAACGGGTGCCAACACTCAAGTAGCCAGACCGGATAGGGAAAAAAAGGGGAGATGTTCAGTGAATGCTTTTCTCTTTCGGGCTATTCCGCAGCGGCAAACCCAGGACAGCTTTCGGACTTGACACCGAATGAGACTTGAGCCTCATAGAAAGTAAAGAGTAGGCATCAGGGTTGGCCAGAAATTAGGATATCAACACGGCTCCTCTGAGCAAATGTCATGAGACTGTCTCTAGAAGGTTGATCATAAAATTATCTCGCGCATTCTCGGCACAGGAAGGCTTGGAATCCAAATTCAACGGTTGCCAAGAAACAGCCTTGTATCCTGGGATCCTCAAGGTACTCTGAGATGCTGCTCTACAACCTAGCGTACCAGTTTTGCTAGGATTCGTTGACCAGGGCTTGTTCGAGAATCGCGAGCTCTTTCAAATTGCCGATCCCCATCATCGCGTTAAGCTGGTTAGGGTGTGTTCAGGAGGCCGTTTGAACTTTCATCGGGACTAGACAAGGACCCAAATCCTCAATCCGACGTTGCGAGAAATTTTGTGCTCTCTGGTGATACAGATGCCAATCATACGCTAAGATGAGAGGATTCAGGCCTCGCCTACACACAGGGGATATGCCGTACGTAACTGGAGATACGAAATCAAGCCAGGAGACGCGGCTTTTAATCCGAGAAGTCCCGTAAACCAGCAATGGTCTTGGACAGATCCGACAGAGTCAAATTGACCAGGTCCTATTCGTGATTTCAGTCGGCTTGATCAAAAGTCTCTTCACTTGCTCGTCCAGGTTTGCCCTTCTTTCAGTTACTAAAGTATACAGGAATATGGCAACCCCTTTTCAAACAGAGGCATGGACGGAGTATGGGCTTGGTGTCTTGGTTATTCTTCTTCGCATCTTTGCTAGATGGAAAATTGTGGGTTTTAATTGGCAAGGCGACGATTATTTTGCCATATTATGCCTGGTCTTCTGGACTGTAAGTACGCCGCATACCCGAACCTGCTATTGACAGTCCGGACTTCAGGCTGTAGTCTACCTTCTGCGGCTGACTTTTACATACAAGTTGGAGCTTTGCATGTTGGAGCTTATAGGTTGGCATTCCTCAATGCTCCTCGAGCCATCGTCGACGTATCTTCCACACTGACACTTGAACTCTGACAGGCCAGAATGGAACCAACATCGGAATCACAAATGATATCGGCGCAACGTTGACATCGGAGGAGATAGCCAAATTTGAGTTTGGTTCCAAGTGCCTGCTGGCAGGCTGGAACTTTTATGTAACCCTCATTTGGTGTCTCAAAGCTTGCATTTTGTTTTTCTTCAGTCGCATCACGTTCGTGTTTCCCCCCGTCCTCGAAAAGCGAAATTGGTCTCATCTCTGACGACATGATATAGGCTTGCTACAAGACAGCAGAAGATTGTCAAATGGACAGCCGTAGCGACAGGATTAGCCTATGTTGGTGTCATAGCTGTCATTTGGGGGCACTGTACACCTGTTCAAAGGAACTGGCAGGTGGTCCCTTATCCAGGAGGTACGTTATTCCTAAGACAGAGGAGAACTATCAAGTTACTGATAATGAATCAGACGAGTGTACTTTGGCCGTTGCGAACTACTTGAGTCTTGTGGTACTCAATATTTCGTAAGTCTAACAATCGACGATTCGATACCTATGACTGACGAAGCCTTTACAACAGAACAGACTTCCTCATTGTATCAATACCACTACCACTCTTGTGGGCCGTCAAGCTCAGTATCAAACGAAAGCTTGCTATTGGACTCCTGCTCTGCTCGGGCATCTTCGTCATGATCGCCGCTTTGCTTCGCTGCATCCTGTCGCTCAAGGACATTGAAGGTATCAATGTCAGCACCATCTGGGCAATAAGAGAGACTGTATGTGCTTCCCAAAGTTTATGACTGGAAGGAAACATTGGTACAAGTTACAGGACTAACAAGGTTTACATTATTTAGTTTGTTGGAATCATCGCCGTGAACGCAGCCTGCATCAGACCACTGTTTTCCTCCTCACATTGGTTGAGGTCTACTAAGGGCAGCAGTGGAGCCAACCAGAAGTACCCCGGCTCAGGTGACAGATACGGCCATCAGTTAGTCACAATAGGAGGTGGAGGGCAAAGTGTCGATCGATCTGGATTGCCTTCAAAGAGACGGTACAACAAATACAACATGACGGAGCTGGACAACAACTCAAGCGAAGAGCAGATTGTCAAATCGTCCGACTCAGCCAGCTGGCCTCAAAATGGAGGTCGCGACGGCAGTTTAAACAGCAAATCTAGTGGGCAGCACGGGCATGGTGGTATTGTTGTGACAACTACGTATGAGGTGAAGCCCGAAAACAAGGTCTGATGTTTGCACCGACGGTCGTGAGTGTGCTGGACAATGAATGTCAGGATGGCAAGGTTGGGGTAGAAAAGCCCGATTCTATGTACCTTTACTCATGTTGCTGTATATTGAGTTCTTGAGAATACATGACCTGGTGAACATGACATTTCGATCCACTGGAAGCAACTTTTCAGTTCATTTGATCACTGTGAGACTATGGTCTATTGTGGATCACTCCCCTATTGATTATGACACAAGCCAGGTAGTCAGGCATACATGCTAAATGATATCAGCATCAGGCTTCCTACCTTGATGTATTTTGTTAGTCGTACTACCTTATGTAAGTTTATTTCCTCTGAATGTCATTATTGCAATGTAATAGCCCAAAAGGTAAGCCTGCTTCCTGGTTTTTGGACGTTGATCGAGTGTTGCAATCTGAAGTAATTACGTACTGCGATAGGGAGCACGCCTGCCGAGACTTGATCATTCGAAGGCTTCGGCATCCATCCGTCAAGGCTTTCGACAAGATTACCATCGCCTGATTCGAAGTTTTGCTTGACCTTCATTCCACACTTTCGAGAAGACTTCCTACTGTGTTCGTCTGGACTAAGTGATTGAAGTCCAGGATTGCGTCCTGAATCAAGAGGCTTTGCGTAATGGGAGCATTGTTCTTAAAGCAAGAGGGCTGACTCGCGAACTTGGAATTGAGCTTGGAAAATCTACAAGCGCCAGACAAGGCAGGTTAAAAGCCCGCAATCTCTCGGGCGGCTCTACTCACCGTCAACCCGTTAGAGCGTCAAGAACCTGCTGGCCAAATGTAAAGTTTCCCGGCAGCCGTCCGTCGCATTTTCTTGTCCAGTCAAGTGTCCTGCGGCTGACTGAGCCCATCGGATCGAACACGCCGAAACAGACCAACGCGAGATCGAATTTGGCCGTTGGAGTATCAGAAGAGACTGCGCGCCTACCGTGCGCCGCGTCGCCGAGGTCAGCTGCAACAGGAAGCAGTCAAAACATTGGATGGCTAGCAACGTTTTCTTATACTTCTGATTCACATTCCCGCCGAATTTCACGGAAAATCTCTTATGCTGCACTCCCAGTAATGTCTCTTCTGCACTAGGACTTGCCTTGCGTCGACTTTGCGTTAGCTTAACTCAACCATCCGCTCTTCTTCGAACGACAAGCGCGAATCATTGTTCTGACGCTTCTCTTTGGAAAGCTGAAGATAAATCGTTTTCTAGACTCTATAGCATGCGTCAGCGCAATCGTATGCAACGTGTTCATGGCGATCATGATCCCTTGCCTGAGTTCACTAGCGACACCCTCCGTTCGGTAAAGGCTTCGTGGGACTTCTTCATAGCATGGCTGAAAATCACCTGGTTTGACATATTTGTCATGTCGGCAATAGGTGGCGCTGCTTTGGGAGTAAGTCTTAGATCAACCGGAATTAGGTGACAGGGAATACTGACGCGTTGTCGCAGATTTACAATGCGCCTCTAGCCGCGACGCGCAACTTTCCCATCACCTTCAACGGCTCTGGAGACATCGTATACCCTCAGTGGGCATTTCCTGATCGCGGCTGGATCATCGATACCTGGCTGTCTGCATTGCTGTCCGCCGCCATACCAATCGCCGCCATTCTTCTCGCCCAGTTCCGCGTGAGAAACATCTGGGACGTGAACAACGGCATCATCGGCCTGATATTCTCCATCTCGCTCGCCACGCTAATTCAAGTCATCGTCAAACAGCTCATTGGCGGATTCCGACCCTATTTTCTGGCTGTCTGTATGCCCGACGTCACGCGAGCAGCTAGCAATAACGCAACGGGACTCAATGCTGTTGGCTTCCAGCAAATCATGTACTCAGTCGATGTTTGCACGCAACCAGACCGCGACAAACTGAAGAATGCGATGACATCCTTCCCCTCTGGCCATTCAACGGCCGCGTTCGCAGGTTACGTCTACCTATTTTTGTATCTGAACGCTAAACTCAAGGTCTGGGCAGACTACCGCCCGGCTCTTTGGAAGATTGCATTGACTTTTGCGCCACTTCTGGGCGCCCTACTTATCGCGTGTTCTCTCACCATAGATCAGGCTCATAATTGGTATGATATCGTTGCTGGAAGCACAATCGGAACTACTGTAGCGTTTGGGTCCTATCGCGGATGCTATGCTGCTATTTGGGATTGGCGGTTCAACCACATTCCTCTGCAAAGGCGCGATCAGTTTATCTATTCCCCGGGAGACGGCACGGAATACAGGAATGATGTGTTCACGAGATCCGGTGGCTGGGGAGCAATACGGGAAAACGCAGCAGAGAAGAGTCCGCCCAGGAGGAGAAGCAGTGCCTACTACGCTGATCAACACATTGCGTATCACGGAGCTTCGGATAGGGATGCCTTGCCATCACAGCTACCGAGAACACGCTATAAACAGCGGAGGGGCCAGCCTCGGGGTGATGAAGCCGTTTGATAGATGCTGTGTATCGAAGCTGTTCAGGGTAGCAACATGCAACGAAAATGGCAAGAGTCGCTGTCATTTGGTGTTAGCCTCATGGTAGGATAGTGGGAAAGGAAGTTAATCCGATGTGAGAATTGCATGTTCCCACTTCCCGTAAAGAATACCTGTATTTCAAACCCTTGCTCGACCTGTTACTGGGCGACTCAAATTATATCCTATCTTGGATTTGTTCGATATCAAGGTAACTTACTTGGGTACTAAGATTTCTAGAAGTGGATGAAGGCCGCTGTAAGTTACCGTCACTATTGACAAGAACTCGTATGAGAACTCAGACTAGAAGCCTCAATCATAGATTCAGTTGCATCTACCGTTGATCTATCGAGATTGTTTGAACCTCTATGAAGCGAAGCGGGCTGGATTCGCGTCTGTGGAGTCGGACGCATCATATCCTTGCTAGTCTTTTCCCTAATTGCGGGCTCGCCGCTTATCCCACGCGAGCCGCGGAACTCAAAAGTCGGAATAAAAGCAACATGATGTTGTGCATCGGTTAGTTTCAAGGATAAGGCTCGGGCTTTCACCGCACACATGTGTAAGCTATGCGAATAGCTCGAATCCTTTTGTCTGTTATTGCTTTCTACAGTGCGTGACAGGACTCTGTCGGCGCTCGTGTAGAAGTATGTTGGCCAAGTCTCGTTTGAGATAGTCGACAAGCGCTGTTTATTTGCTGCTGTCATTCCCCTGTCATACTTACATAGTCTTAGTACTACATATCCGTGCGGATAGAAAGCCCAGAGTTCGCGCCTCCGGCCATCATGAGATTCAGCAACTCGAACCAATTCCCAACCAGTCTCTTGTTATGTCGTGCCCCTTTTTTGTACACACGCTGCATAAGCCTCATCTTGCGACCTCCACTGCTGTGCTTACATTTGTCCTCGTATTGCCCAGCAACAGGCGTGTGCACGTCCCACTTACAACCCTGCAATGATACCAGTTCGCGATTATCTTGCTATTTACGAGGATGAAGTCCGAAGAAGCCCACAATAACTTGTTATCGGCTGACTCGGAGAAGCAGCAATAAGGGGAAAGATGCATTTACTTGATGCGACAATGAACTGATGCGGTAATCCCCAGTCCACCAAGTTCAGCCGCAATGGAAGATTGAGTTAAAACCTCCGCTTTCCCCGGACCCCTTTGGCGCGCAGTTCCTGTCTCTTCACGACTTCTTCGTCGCGACCTTGTCACTCGTTTTTTGTACAATTTTCTCAGCAATTGTATCTAATAGACCTAATAATAATCAAAACGGCTTTACGATGTTGTCTCCGAAAGCCGCCGTCCTCTTCAACTTTGCCCTCCTGGCTTCTGCCGCCCCAGGAAAGCGCCAGTCCACCGGCACAGGATCTTGCACCGATCTGCACATCTTCCTCGCCCGCGGATGGAACGAGGGCTACCCGGGCAGACAGCAGCTCGTTATTGACGCCACCTGCAATGGCCTCTCCAGCTGCGACTATGAAGATATCTTATTCGATGCGTCCAACCCCTCTGGGTACCCTGCCGCTGTTGAGGAGGGTCGTGTTTCTGGAGTCGCCCAAGTCAAGGCATATAGCGAGAAATGCCCTAGCTCCAAAATCGTTCTGAGTGGTTACAGCGAAGGTGCCAATGTTGTTGGAGATATCCTCGCTGATTCTGGGTTGGCTGCCACCGCCACTCCCGGATCCCAGGGTACGTTTTCCATGGCAACTACGCGAGTTGCAGGTTAAGATCTAACACGGCATTCTACAGTCTGCGCCGCCCTCCTCTTCGGCGACCCGACTCACATCGCCAACCAAAGCTACAACGTCGAGGCCGGCTCCAGCTTCAGTGGTCAGATGGCCCGCTCGAGCTCTTCCCTGAGCAACCTCAACAACTTCTCCGGCGTCCTGCGCTCCTGGTGCAACGGCGAGGACATTGTCTGCGCCTACGGCGAGGGCCGAACGATGGGCGAGGATGCCCACACCAACTATTTCCAGCTCTACACCAACGACGCAGCCGCCTACATCAAGGAGAAGTGCGTGCCCTCAGGAACGACCCCTCCCACGGCGACCACCACCTCCAGCCTTCCCGCACCCACCTCCACTGGATCCTTCTGCGTCTCTGGCAAGGTCAAGACAGGTCTGTCCGAGAACTACACCGGTCTCTGCGAGTTCTCTTGCTCCAACGGATACTGCCCTGATGAGGTGTGCGAGTGCTCTGCGTACGGCGAGCAGACGACCAGCCCTGGCGGAGACGGTCGTGATGGATGCCCTGCTACTGGCTTGGACGAAAGCTATAAGGGGCTTTGCAGCTTCAGCTGCAGCCATGGATACTGCCCGACTGGTGCTTGTGTTTACTGCTAAGCGACTACGAGGCGCTGTCTGCAGATGCTGTTTTTGTAGAGCATCAGAAATAGACCAGCCCTTGGGGCATCAACTACGCGTAATGTCACTACTTGGGCCCTCAATATGTGATTAGAACCACCGAAGAGCTCTTTGGAGGTAACTCCGATTGCGAGACGATCAGCTCCTGCAACTCAGCCCACAGCCTGCATGTCCCAGAGTTTCAAAATGACTAGACTGCTAAGTCGAGGTCCAAAGATATACGATGGAAAATGAGAGCTATGCGACAATTGCTTCGCACACTGCGGGAAGCGTGGAGACTCAATGTAGACTTCAGAATCACCATTTCACTGTGTCCTGCTAAATACTGCAATTATATGTGGCTGAACAGTAGACATGCCCTGGGTAAAGTACGGAAGGCAGTGTCAGGGGCTGAGACTACAAAAATCTGTAGATGTTCCATTTACCGAAGAGCGAAGAATGGCACAGCAAACCTTGATGAATGCGACTCCTCATATCTCGAACCTGTGCAAAATCGTGACAGTCCTGCACAGGCCACGCTCGGGTGCGGGACCCGATGCCGTGATGTGATGCTTTGCCGGATTGACCGCGCTACCGGCACTTCCGACGATTCGGCCGCTCTTCGCCAGATTGGGCTTGCTGCAGCCAAACGAAGAGAAGTCATGATGACAGTTCCGAGTGCACGGGGCGCCCTGGACTCGATCTGCAAGGACCACGGCCCGGCTGCCAAGGCATGGGTGTTCATTGAGTGGACCACGGGCTGAATGTGTCGATGTCGGATCGAGCAGAGACGAGTTCATCGAGGAGAGGGACTTACAGACTCCAAAATCCGAAGTGATGAGAACTAGTTTGCTGCCGGGGTTGGAATGCGGAGGATAACGTGTCTAGGTTCCCCGGGAGAAGAAGGAGAAGAAGAAGAGCGAGTATTGCGCACAGATCTGGCCATCAGATCCGTTGAGCATGCCGTGTTCCCGGTCCGCCCGTTCGGCCCCCAAAGAGATGGCTGGGATGTCCTTTTAGGCCTAGCTACGTCTTGGACAACAGCAAAATCCCTCAGTGCATTTGACGCGATGGGTATTCATAGCAATCCCATTCAGTATTGGCGTCCTTTCATGTCTGTTGGAAGTACAAGCCTCTTCCTATCTGTCCTTGGTCAATCAACTAGATAAAGTCAATTGAGAGCAAAGCTTTATCTAAGGTACTCTAGTTGACAGACATGCATGCGCCTGGGCCTTTTACCCGGCCATCTCATTTCCGATCATGACTGTTGGTTCGTCATTGTTGACAACAACGAACCGCCCGGCAAGGGAGATGGAGATGCGAGGGATTCAACTTGGCGTCTAATAAGACTGGGATTGCCATGTGACCACAATAGGCCCAATGCCCTGCATCTGAATTGACGTCAGCCAACTCGACGTAGTCTTCCATCTTCCTTCCCAAGTGCTTCGCAGACAGTCTCTCATTTCTGTGTGCTCCTCAGTTTGTTTGCACTCCCGTCCTGCAGCTGCTTTGGCTCCCCTGAAAATCGGTATTCGGTTCCATTGAAAAGCTCCGTGGAAAGAAGTGTACCGCTTCAACACGTGGGTGGAGCGAAGTGTTTCTAATTTCGTTTTGGAGAACAAAACGATCGACAGTAATCGACATTTTCCGTTCCATTGTTCCTGCAGGAAACGGGAGAGGTGAGATTGTCAGCTTGAGAAACCGAACCGACGGGCTATGGCAATTGAGCGGGATGGCAAGCGACAATGGGAAGGTCAAATTCTCCGTGAACTCTATGCTGCATTCACGCTATCCTCATTTCCATCCAGTCTCTCCGAGTAACGTCGAGATGGATGGCTGGATCTGTGGTGAGAGGGTGTGGCAGCTGTGGCTTGCTGCGGCGTTGTCACGTCTTCTAACCGCAACCGGTTGGAGGGAATGCGAAACAACTGCTGTTATCCCTGTATTATCTTTGACTCTTCCAGGTTCCTTGACAATTCCGCAGACTCTGCACGACCAACGTCTGTTTGACATCACCCGTCTCTCACCTCCACCCCTGTTGACCCAGGCCAAACGCACGTTTCTCGCGCGGGGGAAACGCAACACATCGGTCAAGTGCCACAGTTAAGCCAAATCTGCCAACGCTTGGCCCACCGAACCGGACAGGGTGCTACAAGGTGTGCAACCCGGACTGATGTCATTAACCCACCAACGGGCTGTCGCAATCACGGTACAACGGCATCGTGGCGCCTAAAGAGGCATGGCATTTCTTGTGGCGCGTGGTCTAGGCTTCTCTGGCTCTCCAATGGCCTCGGTGAAGCGTCCCAAACAGATCTGCTACTGCGGTTCGAGAAAACTGGGTTATGTGACTTTGGGCCGCCCATCCTTCAGAATTCTAGTGTGTTTTTTTCACCAAGCTCCCACCGCTCCCAAGCACTCCAAGCTGGTGGTACGCGTCAGACTGGAGCAAACGTCTCTTCGACTCTTGGTACCAGCAAGGGTTTGAACAGACAACGCCGCACGAGGGCGCAAAAGCTCCGGCTTTGATCCACTACAATGATGAAATGGATGGGGTCGACCGACGTTGGAGAGACCGCCTGTCTCGGTCTTGTTTCTAATTGTCTTTAAAGTCTTTTGGGTGTCCCGCTACGTCGTCGAGTTCTCACGATGGTTTAGGCCTTCATAGCAACCGAGCAAGCCACCCGCAACCTAATCCAAGCCACTTCCCTCTCCGGTCGTTATTCTAATATGGCGCCGTTACAGAGTCGCATTCTCGTCGGCTGCGGCCTCATATCTGCCGCTCTCGCTGCTGACAACGTCTTGTCATTAACGCTCTCCGAATCAGTCCCCAGTAATGTCTCGGCAGCAATCGACCCATCATTCGCCGGCTTCGGCATCGAGCTCGACCACCTCTTTTACTTCATGGGCGACGAAACACCAAACGACCTAACCCTTAATCTCCTCGATAACCTAGCGAACTTCACCGGTCGTCCACCTCACATGCGATTGGGAGGAAACACTCAAGACTACCTCGTCTACAACGACTCACAAGATGAATGGCTTATCAAGCCAAATCCCCGCCCTACCGCGCCGGGGAATGTCCCTGCAGATAACTTCATTGTCGGCCCCCGCTTTATGGAGATCGCAAACCGTCTGCCCAAGGGCACGCCCATTACATGGGGTCTCAACCTGGGCTACGCAGAGTCCGACTATCTCGAGAGGCTTACAACTATGGCGTCTCAGATTATCGACCGGTGCACCAACCTCAACATCATGTCCTTCGAATTTGGCAACGAGCCAGACCTTTATGGCGACAACGGTTTCCGCAAGAAGGCGACTTGGTCCGGTACGGAGTACACGAAGGAATGGCGGGAGCGGGCCAATGCTGTATGGGAAGAAGTCCTCGAACCTCGCGGACTGCACAGTGACTTCTTCGAGGCGTCTGCTTCGACCGCCTGGGTAGCTGGCACGGGCTTCGAGATCAAGGATCTTGTCGAGAACGGCATTGACGATAAGGCTAATAACTCTGATGTTGGCTTCGTCACGAGTTGGAACCAGCACAACTACTACTACTTCGTCGGGTCTTTCCCGTATCCCTTGACTCTCGATTACATGCTGCGTTTTGAAACGACAAAGGCGCAATTCGACTCGGCGATTGAGGCTCAAATCACACAAGCCGAAAAGACTACGCATCCTTTTGCGCTGCGAGAGATGTCCGTCGTCGGACCGCTCGGTGTAGAGGGACTCAGCAACACATTCGCCGCCGCTTTGTGGACTCTCAACTTCCTCCTCTACGCCACAACGATCAACATCTCGTCTGTTCAGTTCCACATGACGTATGATAGTAATGCTAGCGCCTGGCAACCGACAGCCATGTTCGGACGCGACCGCTTTGTCCGGCCGCTCTACTACGGCATGGCCGCCTTTGCCCAGACTATTGGCCGCTCCTGCACCGCTCGCGTTGCCCAGGCTGAGATTACGGACTATCCCTCAGGCTACAATGACTACATCAAAGCCTGGTCGGTGTACCAAGGCGACTCTCTTGCCTCCCTCGTCCTGCTTAACGGCAAGGTTGCCAACGTCTCTGACGCCAATAAGGGCAGCATCACCGTCGACGTTACCCTGCCCTCTTCCCTCGCCGGCGAGACGCTCCACCTGGCGTATCTGACCGGCGACGGAGCCGACGCGACGAGCGGGACAACGTGGAATGGCCTCAGCTTCGAGCAGGGCAACGACGGAAAGCTTAGCCAGGTGTCTAGCGACGAGATCACCGTCAAGGTTGGTAGCGACGGTAAAGCAAGCATCCCCGTCCGCGATACAGAGGCCGTGGTCGCCAACGTGGGCGCCAAGGTAGGTAGCGCAGAGCCCGATAGCACTGCGTGTGGCGGGCTCGCGACTTCGTCTCAGGGGGTTGGTACGGCGACTACTTCCACCCCTGGGTCGTCGTCGGGTGGCTCGAGCAATTCGTCTTCAGGCAAGAGCAATGATGATTCGGGCGCGGCGGCCTTAGGTTCTGGCACGAACATTTACAACTGCATAGCGTGGAGTTTGGTGCTTACCACGGGAATTTTCTTCTTATAAACTTGGGCATAGAATATGATACCTAGGATCTTGCGTTTTGGCGTACTTGGAAGGATGGATATAATGACTACACAGTTCCTTTTGTCATGTCACCAGAAGAACTTAATCAAACTATTATCATATCAATCTTAGCTTGTGCATCGTGAGGCTGTCCAAATTCGCAATGCTCAACGGTGAGCAGTTGTTCAAAGCTAGCACCACGAAGGATTGCAGTTTTCGGCCCTCGGATTGCCATCTTCTTCGACACTTACCATACTTATCTAGGTAAGTTAGAAAGGCTGAGTGATGACCCCTTGTAAAAGATAGCAATATAAACTTGAGAAGCCCAATAAGTGTGCTTTGAAGAAGTATATACATGAATTTCCCTTGGCTGGTCAATCTTGAAGGGCGGCGGATGCATCGTATCATGAAAACTGATCAATCATCATAGCTCTGCTCCAATCCCACAAGCTTGGGTTAGGTTTTGAGTAGACCTGAAATCAACAAGAGCCAGACTTTTCGCCGGGGCCGTTGTACAGTTGGCATGGCGTCTTAGCATCAGTGCAGACATTGACGAGAGTCGCTTCATCGCCAGTCTCTTCGTTGATGCCCGCAACTTCGCCGCCGCCATAAGCAGAGACTCCCTCGATGGTGACGGTACGCTTGCAAGCATCGCACTATATAGTTGTAAGTCGATTGTGTTAGGTTGTAAAGGGGCTTTGCTCTAAAAAACAGCTCACCGTGCCGCAGGCTCTGTAGACCTTTCCGTAGTCAGAGGCGTAAAAGTTCGAAATCTATCATTCTCGTGAGCAACTGGCACATATGAATCTCACGCCTCGAGCGCCGTATACTTACGCTGACACTTCCGCAGCCGTTGTGTTGAACCACCTTATCTGCGGCCTTATACGCACCGCCGCCAATGATGCGAGTCTCGGTGCCGGCCTCATCCTCCTTACTGAAGTCGAGGTTAGTCTCGATACACAGACTTCTTGATAGAACTCTGACGGGACAATAGTTTGACTTACATTGAGATGGCATCCTCGCAGACGTCCTCGAACCACACGTTCTCGATAGTGCAACCGCCACCAATGCAATAGACGCCCTCCATCTGGTCCTTTCCGATGATGGCATTCTTCAGAGTCGCACCCTTACGAAGGAGAAAGACAGTGTCCTTCTGACCACCTTCAGTCTGGGCCTTGCAAGCGCCTGAGCCTCTGTCGAAGCGGGCCATCTTTCCATCGTATGACTCGCCAGCGGCCACCTCGATAGGCTCAGTATTGCTGATTGTCTCTGTCGCGGTAGGGAGAGCGTCCTTGCCCACGCAGGCAGAGACTGTGGGCAAGACGACTGCCAGAGCCGCGAGGAACTTGATTGCTTCGGTGCGCATAGTGACTGAGGTAAAAAGTTGAAGTGTTGATCAAAGAGTGTGGATAACACAGGAGATGCTACTGAAGGCTGGTGCTGAAATCTCTTCCAGGCTATTCTCGAAGCCGACTTTTGGTAGTTTTATACTCGATTTTGAGGTACCCAGTGGGATGACCGAGAATTAAACAGCCATTATCATTCCAAGTCAATTCTCACAGTAACACAGATAGCTGGATTAAGGAGGTCTTGGCCATTGAGGGGATCCCGCATGTCCTCCACAGCCCGCGCAGTATAGCAATGGGTAGGCCCACTGATTGGCATACATGATCTTGACCTGTCAAAGCTGACTGACGGCACTGTAGTATAGTGTACTACGTAGTACCTATTGGTAGAATATGGAAACCTGTACAACATTCCTCACTCCCCAAACACCCTGAACGTAATTAATCTGGAAACCCGTTCATCAATACCTTAATCTAAAATGTCACATCACACGTGGAAAATCAAGGAGACCCGTTTCGAAACGCGCCAAGATGCGGTTGCCGTACAGAAGAACCGGACAAGATCACCACCGGTCGCCTGTCGGAGGGGTGTTCCCGGGGCCGGACATCTGGGAGGTGAGACGATCGTTACCCAGCGTGCTGCCAAGACTCTGGGCACTGCCACGCTTGGCACGACTGCCCAGAACAACTAGAGCTTCAAATTGAGAAAGGAGTTTGTGGTGTTTGGACCGACTCTTAGCTTCCATTCGTGAGGTCAATGTAAGGTCAATGTAAGTTCAGCTTTCTTGTTAGAAACGCCAGGCCTCAATTCAAAATTTGCCCCTGTTGAACATCTTAGGATGGGAGTCGAGAGCCCAGACCACAACCCATCTAACAGATCGGGGCATTATAGAAGTAGATAAGCCTTTTGTTATGATATCCACAGCATATTTGAACCATTGACAGGCAACTCTATTGGTGCGTGAGTTCCGGGAAGGTTACAAGACATCCGTACACGTAAAGTTTGTCATCGGACACATCCGCACTCAGAGCGATACAGCTCGTAGTCTACATGACTTTCAGCAAACCATCTTTCACCACATATTTACTTATTGATTCCTAAGCTCTTCTGATGGAGGTCACAGTAGAGCAGATTGATTGAATGAGGCCAGGAATCCTCGCGATTGAAACAAGGGGAGCATACGCGTTGACGCGCCATATAAACGAGCACGTCTTGGCACAATCAAGGAAGTACGACGCTGTTGAATTTGCATACTGGCGGTATGACACCCTGAGCTCTAACCTGAGGCGCAAACATAGTTTCAATCAATCATTCTTCGCCCTCGCTTGTCGGTCTATTAATCTGAGTGGACATCATCGGAACATGACAACGCTTTTGCGAAGGTATTCTCTGTAGGCTTGCTATTTAGTGAGTAATGATTTGATTGAATTCGGTCAAAGTGTAGGATTGCTTGGGTACGGCGACCTGACTTCAACAGTTGAACTTCAGAACTAGGAGTCTGGCCATGTGATATTTTCGGACTCCGGAGATCCGAACTTGGAGAATTCGATCCTCGCGAGTGCCTTTCAGACCCGCAAAGTCTGGGCAAAATGCAGTCACATGAGTAGTCAGAAAGACAGAATTACTTGCGACGTGAATTAAAAGTATACGCATCAGTTTACAAAACGGCTTCATCTTTAGGAGATGGGGGCCTCCCTTTCCCTTGGTTACCTGTATGATACACAGACATCATGTAGCCAGTACACGCCGCGTCAATGGCATCACAAGATGTTAACAACCGTCCGTGGACGTATGCACTCATGACGAAAAGTTCTTGCTCTCGTGATCGACCTGAACTGTTTCGACTGAAGACTTCGTAGATTGGCGGTCGAGAAAAGGCTTCAAACCCGGAAGGGCCACAACGGTCATCGCAAGAGTCATTTCCAGAATGCTCAGAGGATCTGTGGAGCTCGTGTCAGACCGCGATGTTGTCAATGGGCACGGGTGTACTATACTTACAAACCAAGTTCTCCTGGCCAGTGCCAACTTTCAGGGTAATGAAGCGTACGATGGTTGTCATGATGGTTAAAGTACCAAGAGCAAAAGTAAGAGTCAGGCCAGTGGATCTCTCGAGGACACCTTGAATCAACAGAGTCAAAGGGAGAACATAGACTAGAGATATTACTGTTAGTATGCGTTTTTGAAAAGCCATTGAAGAGTCTGGCAATAAGCGTTAGAGCGTTAGAGAGCTGATCATACCGCAAAGGTAGCAGGCGAGGTTGAGGGTGAAGTTGAGGATGAAGGGCTCTGGAGCGTAAAAGACACTGCATGCGCCATCTTCCTGTGACCACTGCACCGAAACGTCCTTTCCACAAAAGAATGTGTCGTCCCAAAGTATAGCCATGTACGAAAGGCAGACGAAAGCAGTGATACCCCAAAGCGCCTTGCGCATTGCGGGGCTGGTAGTTGAGGGAAAGTAGGCCCAGTAGAATGCCAGCATGCTCATTTTGGGGAAGCCCATTCCGACATCGTAGAAGTAGTTTGATGCGAAGGAGATCTTTTTGCTAGAAGTCAGCGACGACAGGACAGTCTTTATGGCTGGAAGCGTACCTTGGAAAGAGCGACGGAAGACTCCCAGTGATCCATGACGCCGAGTTGGAAGGTCAGAGTGTCACATATGATTAATGCGAGAGCGTTGATAGCAGAGAGGACGAGGAGAATGTCAGACCAGGCCAGCTTCTCTCGTAGCCTGAAGAGGCGAGCGTACATCCGGAGACCGACGAATACATAGGAAAATGCTAGTAGAATCCATTCGGATATCTGAATTCAAGTATTAGAATGGTCTTACTAAATTGGTAGCGCTAATAAGAATCAAAGCTATAGGGACTTACCATGCAATCCTTTCCGTCTATGAAGTACGCCATTTCGTCGGATAGCTCAAGGTAACTAATTGCAAAGCACAGGAAACTACGATGAATCGGTAGAAGCAGGCTCTGGCATCAACATGTTGTACGATTTGGAGTGAGACATCGACATTAATAAAGAGGCCTGCGGGAGCGACACGTCCGCGCATGCTACAAGCCAGGGTAGTCTCCAAGAGGGCCACATATAAAGAATCGGCTGTCTATTGGTCCGGGTATGAACCGAATTGCTCTAACCGTAGGATCACCAAGATCTCAGTCGTAAAGGGCGCAACATCCCGTGTGGATTCAATTGCATCTCTGACGGTTGGAAGCAGCAATGCTGTAGCATTGACAAGGGGATTGAAGCGAGGTTGCAAATTCTGCAGATTTTGATGCGTGAAACAGCCCAGGACCCTTTATTTTTCCTTCTTTCTCGGTCTATTGTCTCCGCTGGCCTGCTCTCTTTCGGCTCGTGTCCCCGGGTTCTTCTGTGTGGCATTACAATTTATTCGTGCGTCCACGCCGCAAATGCGCAGAAATGTGGTTGAATCCTGCCAAAGATGATTGGCTCCTCGGTCGTCCTCCGTCAGGCCCGGACCCGCCAGTTGGTTATTCACAAAAAGGGCCCATCTAAATCCTTTCTCTATCCCCGTGCTTGCTTCTGCCCGGTCTCTACTAACCGAACACCGGGCGACTCGAATCCCTGTTCACATCCTCACGACGTTGATATGTCACGCTCACTCGAGCGGATTTGCAGATCACATTCGATCCCTCGAGATTGTTCAGCTCCACCTCGATCCCTGAGTCCTCCTCAGAAACTGCTCTCGCTGTTGCCACATACGGCTCCCTTCCCGAGGACAGCTTGATGTGACTGCGACTGAAATTCGTTGGTTGTTTGTCAAATGCCCGCCCTACTGACCCTGTCTGCCCGGTCCCATACTTTGAGGTAGCCAGCCCTCGGCGATGAAGAAGTGACTTCAAGGCAGGAAGAGACACGACAATGATTGCAGCGGCGATTTCGGTCATTGAGAGCACATCTGGAACTCGTTCAGAATCATGCTATGATCTAGATGTTGCATACCATAGTTCGGGAACTTACAGACGTTCGTCCATGCGTTGATGGCTTCCACAGTAGCGAATCTTCCAATGCTGGCCCCTATCGTAATGATGCCCGTCGAAAATGTGGCGGCGAGTCCAATGATGTATCTGCCGCTGAGTTGTAGGCCGAAGAGTAGCGGGAATGGAATGGTGAAAACTGTTTCCTAGTCAGTCGGCAAGCTTTGATAGTGCGGATGAGACACCTAGCGTACTTAACACATCTGTCACAAAGTTCATGGCCCAATCGATACGGAAAACATCTTTCGAGTCATAAGTACTGCAGTTTCCCTCTATATCCCAGTTGATAGAGACGTCAGGACCACACCAGAATGTATCCAGAAAGAAAGTTGTCACTGCGAAAGAAATCGTCAGGGCGCTCACGCCGTAGAGCGCCTTCCGAAGAATCGGCATTGTCGGCGGAATCAGCTTGAAGTAGAAGGCGAGCAACGCAATTTTAGGGAAGTATATTCCAGTGTCGTAAAAGTAGTTTCCGGCAAATGTGACTTTCATCAACAAGATCTGCTTGTCAATAGGAGCCTCGGGGGCGTCGGTATCGTATTCGTCCATTCCGCCGAGGTTGTACGCCATAGTATCGGTCGCGAACAGCGCGGAAGCATCAAGCAATGAAATTATAAGAATCCAATCGCTTATAGTCAGCTTCTGATGCTGTCGCACCAGACGAAGCCATAAGCGTGCGAAGACAAGGACAATGGCCATTCCCAGGAGAACGGCCTCGATAGGCTAGATAGCTTCACTTTAGTGTGATTGACTGAGAATGCCAGCGGTGTTTGACTACCTGTGCTTGAATAGAAAAATGGAAGCTTTACTCACCACAACGGCCTCCTTTGCTACCCCTGCCATGATATGTAGGATATTTGAGGAGCGAAGAAATGTAATTTGTCTTGCCTTTCTAATGTATGCGAAGAGCAAACAATCTTGCGTAATTTGGGGACGATTTTGAGCACATGCGAGCGGGATGTTGAGAATTGGATCAATCAGTGGATGGGTATTACCATTGTTATGGATCACCAGGAGCTCTATGTCGTGAGAGAACCCGCGTCAATGGATTCTGGAGGCAGGATGGCGGTTAACCGGAAACTTCATAGACGCAGCATTTACGTTGGGTAGAGGAAGGGTCTAGATATGCGGTGGGATTCTGCCACACAAATCAAAACTATGTACTGACGACGCAAGGGGGCGGCGCTCCGTCGTTCCACTACTCGCTCACCTTCCTGGTGTTTTATTGCATTACTGGCCTGCTGAGCTTCCTCTTGGTGAAGTAGTGTGGGAGCGTGGAGAACTAAAAGCTGAGATATTCGAGTTTCATAGCCGGGGATAACTATCCAAACCGAGCCGCCTGCAAGATAAGATCACGCTATGCCCCGTTTCTCGTGACAAGGGTAGTCCAACACGGGCAGTTTATTAGCGCCGAGACAGGATCGAGAAGAGAGCGATGCTGGAGAAGATCCACGGGCACCTCCCCCTTGCCATCTTACATAGCATTCACTAATCGATTCTTTGCAGGCGAACACCTTGTCTTGTTGGGATCTAAACCTTGTTTACGCACAGATGCAGCCGATTCGGCAAAGGATCCGGGTCTCTGTTGGAAGTGCTGTGTTGGACGCTGGCGACTGGAGTCTGCAGGCACGATGTGGAACAGTAGCTCATCCACTCTGAGTAAACCCACCCCAAATTCTAAAGAGCTAAGAAACCGAAATCTTACGTTTCTTGTTACTTTCACCTCGCCAAGCCTGTTGCTCTAAGGCCGTTGGACTTGACAACCAGCTATTTACCTTTTACGGCGAGCAGAGCGACTGGTTAATCTCTCTACCAGAGTTCCACTGTATCCACTCATTGTGTGACTCAAGTAGCATGCATCTTGCTGACTGCGGCGTCTTCGAGGACAACTTACTTCCCGCGTTTCCGTTAATCCGAGCCATCGATCAGGTCTTCGACGATTCAATCTTGGAGGTGGACTGCAATGTACCCACTTACAACAGCACAGAAATGATCTCACTCTGGAACCTGAGAACTGGTTGCAAGAAGAAACCCACCGATCATTGTAGCAAGGTGAAGCATTCAATGAACAGCGAACTTGAGGCTGATGCGGCTTGATAGAATTTTGAAAACAAGTAGCACTAAATCAGGCAGTCTGGCTTCGACATGGTCTAGAACGCATTTATCGCACTCACTTGTTCCTATCATCCTATCTAAGCCATACTATACTTAAAGGGAAGGGGTGGCGACACGCTCGTACGTCTCTTCCGCATGCTTTTCCGCATCAAACTCGAGTATCCAGTCTTCTCTTGGCAAAGCAATTGTTGTTGGATCCTCCTTCACTTTTTCCCAGTCTGTCTTGTGCCACATCTCACGAGTGGAGACTCCAGTCTTCTGCACCGCCCTCACACGATCGTATCTATGTTGGGTATTAGAATACCGGGTCAATAATTGCTGAAGGGCAAAGGATTCTATCTTACCGGATTCCTTGGTAAGAATTGAGCGCTGTACGAATGTCTTTCTTGCCCGCACGTTTCAGGCATACTGCTATAGTAACGCCGTCTTCCATGGCTTGAGTCGCGCCTTGGGTACTTGTTGGCAAGAATGGATGAACGGCGTCTCCTAGTAAGGCAATTCGTCCGCCTCCGCTGACCCAATTAGGAAGTGCATCGCGATACATGAGCTTCCAATCCACTAGTGATGGAGTTTTCTCGACGATTACTCGGCACATGGGGTCCCAACCCTCGAGTGCGCGGCAAACATCCTCGATCTTACCGGGAAAGGACCATGATTCATCGATGTCGTATTCGTCTTTGTGTGTTAGTACCCAAGAGCAGTCTCGACCTCCCTTCAGAGTAGAGAACAGGAAATGGGCGTCTGGGCCTATCCAGCCATTGAAGGTATCGCCATTCTCACAGAATTGTCTGGTGCGAGGATCTGCCAGTAAGGCGTCGGCGGAGAACCTACGACCTCCCAGAATTAGAGACACCCTCAAACCCCGGCAAATAAAACACCAAGCTTACCATGCCCTCCATATCGCATATCCGCTGCTTTGTGGCTTATCTTTGTGGCCAAGAACTAGTTCCCTCGCTTTGGATCGGACCCCATCCGCAGCAATGACGACGTCAGCTGAAACCTGTAGAAGTACACATATCAGTACGATGTCGCGATGCTACCGCATCAATATCTGACGAAACGGAGATATTGCTCACCTTGCTTCCGTCTTGAAGCTGGATACCTGCAGCATCTTGGTCCTCAAAGTAGTCAGTGACCGGTTGGCCAAGATGTATTGGAATCGCTAGTTCATCCTTCGCATAATTGTAGATGACCTCGTGCAGTTCTCCTCTGTGGCCATTGAGGACAGGTGCTTCGGGATCTGCAGGCGGTCTTTTCTGAGTGAGAACAACTTCACCAGTGTCCCACTTGTGAATCCGGAAGCCGTATTCATGTAAATCGATGCAAAGCGGTTTCAACATGGAGACGACGGCTCCATCGGACCATCGGTGGAAGATGCGGCCAGCGTTCGCACCAAAGGATATGATGTCCCCCAATTGTTTTAGCTCAGGAAATGATTCATAAACCTCAACGTCGTGGCCTTGTCGATGGCACTCAATTGCAGTTGTCAGTCCCCCGAAGCCGGCGCCAACAACAATGACCTTGACTCCTGTCTTCGTTTCTGACGTTGCCATGGTGGTTTTCAGTCCAATCAGCGTAGTCGGTTGTTGTGGTGTTAGCCCGGAAAGCCTTCGAAAAAAAATAGTTTGACTACCTCAAGAGGAAACGGGAATATACAGAAGAAGAAAACTATGGACTCAACATCTGCCGAAGGATACAGTTTATCCTGACACATCTGCCGTGGGGTTGCCATTGTCAGGTATCAGATACCCCACGTCTTCGAGGTATTTACTACCCCACATCCGCCAGGTGCAGCGGCAGCGGTTATAATCTCCCGGCCGATCATTGGGACATTACGCAGACTTCAAGCCTCTTAAGAACAATCCCAGGCGTTTCGATTCAACCAGGCTTTTCCTCTTTGAATTACGAACTGCTCCCCATTCGCTGCACCAAGAATTTGACAGCTCCAATTTCAAACTAGTGTGCGCCCTCCCCACATGCGTACAACCTCATGTCATCTTCTCATAATCACCCGAGCCAAGTTTGCTTTCATAACTGCCGATCTCATGGATTCGAGACGAACCTGTATGTACGAAGCCTATAGAAACACTCGGTAGCCCCTCTTTCAGACTTTGGAATAAAAGATGCAACATTCAAAGCAGTGGTGGTCTACTACTGTAGCTGAACCAAGCGAAACATGACCAAAATGGCTGCTGATGGTATTCGGGCTCACTTCTGGTGCTTTATGGCGTGCGGTATGATCGCATTGTCTCCATTCCAGTACGGATTAGACTTTGGAATCATTGGCGGTCTACAGGCGATGCCTGGCTTTCTCGAGGTTGGCTTCTTTCTCCCAATTTCTCATGTTCCGACGTCCTCCTTCAATACATCCTTTGTCTTGAATAGATGCTATTGGAACTGACCTGTTGCTCCAAGGTCTATGGCTATGAAGACCGAAACACGGCCATCGGGTGGAATATCTCCACCACCCGACAACAGCTCATATCTTCTTTGATGACACTTGGAGCATTTCTTAGCTCGGTGCTTGCTGGAGTAATCGCAACCAAATTGGGAAGGAAGATGTGCCTGTGGCTCTCTTCCCTTCTATGCATTGTAGCCAATATTCTCATGATGACCACATCACACATCGGTCCACTCTATTTCGGTCGCTTGCTCATCGGGCTAGGCAATGGAGGTTTCATGACCTTCTCTCAACTTTACTTACAAGAGAGCAGTCCGGCAAAATACCGCGGGCTATTCCTTACTATCTTCCAGTTCTGTGTAACGATTGTGGGTATTCAACTGCTGGAACTCATGCTATTTAGCAGGCCTGGAATGGCTAACCGTACCGCAGGGAACTCTCCTTGGCACCATCATTGACTGGGCAACCGCCCAACGCCCTGATAGATCAGCTTACTTGATCCCTCTGGCTACAATTTACGTGATACCGGTTCTCTTAGCCATCGGTCTTTTCTTCATACCCGAGTCACCGCGCTGGCTGATTCTAGAGGGCCGTGTAGATGAGGGTCGCAAAGCTCTTGAGTGGCTAAGACCTACTGATGCAAACATTGACGATGAAGTTGAAGAAATTCAAACATCCATCCAAGAACATATCGAGTTAACAAAGACCGTCACCTTTTGGGACATGTTCAAGGATCGAATAGACCGAAGACGCTCCATGATCTCCATCGGCGCCGTATCTCTGCAGGCCGCATCAGGATCCATGTTCATCATTGGTAAGTTCCGAATCCATTTCACGTCAGTTTCATGAACTCATTCAAGCTATACAGCGTATAAAGCATACTTCTTCTCTGTTGCACAAGTCGAACACCCCTTCGCTATGACAAATGTTCTGTCTACGGCTGGTCTCTTGGCAATTCTTGCCAATGCTTTCATCGTAGTTCGCTATGGCCGTCGCCGGCTTATGCTCATCAACGGTCTTGTCATTTGTGGCTGCTTGCAACTCATCATGGCTGTAACATACGACAAGCAACCACATACGATTAATGCGGGGAAGGTTCTTGTCGCAATGTCTTGCATTTTCATGGTTGCTTTCAATGTAGGTTTTGGATAATCAGAGTGGATACTTACCTTTCGGCTTCGATTGACTGACTGCCCTGCAGGGAATGGTGGCACCATACTCCTGGATGGTTGCCGGAGAAGCCCCGTCACAAAGACTTCGCAGCTACACATTTGGGGTTGCTTCGGCATGTGGTTACCTACTGGCCTGGCTTGTAACCTTTACTACGCCTTACTTCATCAACCCTAGTGCCCTGAATTGGGGCCCGAGGTACGGCTACATTTGGTTTCCATCTTGCATCATTGCAGCTTTGTGGGCCTTCTTCTTCCTTCCCGAGTTCAAGGGACGGACTCTCGAAGAAATCAATGCAATGGTAAGAACTGAGTTCTCATCCGGGACACTTGGCACACTGCAATCATCTCACTAACAGTTTCAGTTTATCGAACAACTGTCAGCAAGAAAGTTCCGCCGCTACGAAGTTCCAGGAACCAATCAGCCCAAGACTGTTGACACTTTGAAAGATGATATTGATGTCGCTCAAATCGAAATGGTCAATCGTTCTTGAAGTTTTCACAGCCACTAGTGCTTTCAGCTAGTTCATCAAACTCTAGATCTAGAACCTATCATGTGCGAATGCCCTTAGGATACAGTATACGTGAGATAACCATGTTCTGTGGTAGACATAGCTGCTTAGGTGTTTTGGCATGATATGCCCTGAGAGACAACTGTTTTGATGCCAAGATTGTCATAATTACATGCAGGAAAGACTAAGTAAGCCAATTAGAATCTCTAACAGTGATGAGTTAGCATTAATCTTGATTCAAGACAGAATGCGAATGACAGCTTTCATGGCTCTTTTGACAACTGACTTCCACCACCCTTTTCGTCCTGCAGCGTGGCTCTGGACACTCGAAATCTCCCCATTACCACAGGCATAATCCATTTCCAAGTCATGCTTCATTTGGCTTCCTTCTTTAAGTTCCTCCAGGTGCAGTTTCCTCCTGACATTGTAAGCTCGTATGTACCCAGAGAGACTTGTGCGGATGCAATCAATGTCCGTGCTTGACAGCCCTTCATTTTCCACACACTCGTCAAGCATCCGTCGGTGTATGAGAACAAGACTCCGGGCTTCAGTCAGAATGAGGCATGCCGAACATTTCGGGAATAAGTACTGCCGGTCAAGATCGGATATTGCTGTTGTTGGACAGAACACATGATCCAGCCCGCGAGAGAAGCAGGTGCCATTGGCGTGCTCATGTTTAGCCACGTAGAGGATCCTGGCGCAGGATTTCTCGCCAGTGACCAAGCAGGGCTCGCCTATGTGACAAGCTCGGTGTTTGGGGTCGCAAGCATCCCACAGCCCGCTTCTTTCATAGGCTGCGAACAAGCTTGCCTTCGGACAGGATCGCTCCTCAGCCAGGGCGCACAATCTTCCCACAACACAGCTATCATGAAGACTTTTGTCACGGAGCTCGATATCCCAGTCGATTATGTGGTGTTCGCGATAGGAAGTGTTGGTGGCGCGCTGGGGTTGCAATGTTGCGGACATGTTTCTGTCTCTTCGTGTCAGCTACTTGAACATGGCGCACGTGAGACTCGCGAAAGAAGTGGAATAAATCCTGGAAACATAAGAAGACGAGAGTAATAGGACCGTAGATTACCTTGCTTGTTTCGATGAGTTGAGTGGCTCATCCGGAGTAATCGGCTGAGAAAGCAGGCGGTCGTGTGATACAACAAGACGAGGGATGGTGGAAGAAAGTGAGAGATGAAGACGCGGCATTATTATATTCTAAGCTAGAAATCTATTCATTGATCACCGTACACCAGTAGGGATTTTATATCCCAAAAAGACGCCAAAACGTTGTCTCTTTTCTCCTTTTGGGGCGCCGAGGTCTGCCTTGCCGGGTATCTGCCTGGCCTCAGCTGCCCAGCCATGCAATGTCTCTGCCTTTTGGTATCGGGCCGTTCGCTGTGGAAAATAGACATTGTCTTGGACCTTGTACAATTCGCCCTGTAGACTTCATAGACACATTGCTCGTTCTTGGCGATGACTTGAGATTTCTTTGAGGTGAGACAGGACTGTAATGCGCCAGTTCAACTTCCAATTTTTGTGAGATTCATCATTTCTAGGACGTTACGTATTGGGTACCACCTTCCATCGTATACGACTACGGAAGGCTAAGTCCAGTTGACGTTTCGAGGTGTGTCCACTGTTATGTAGTGGCACAGATTTAGGTCTCACGAAGGATGGAACAGAGGACTGTGGGAAATAGGCAAAGGCATCCCTTGTGGAAGGCGCCCAGTAGAATTCGGTCTAATGGCTGTGTGGCTGCAACTGATTTCGGTGTAGCACGAAAGTGTCTCAGGACGTTCTCGGGCTACGGTGTTTGAATCATTGGCTGGAAGCCACGCTCGACTACCTGCATTGAAGTGCATTTGACAATCCCCGTAATTCCATTCCTCGTTTTGGGCCACCGCTTCAGGGCAGTTTGTATCCCGTTCACAACAGAATCTCGTTCTCTGCATTGCGGTTCTCTTTCGAAATCCTCGACCAAGATCCAAATAAATCATCTCCTTAGCTCTCTCAACTTGTTCATAGCACCTAGACCAGCCTTCGCCGATGACTTCTAGGCTCTGTCAGATTAGCCAATTTTGGCCATTTTATTGGTAGCGCTATCTCGCCTTTACAATGGTCCACCTTACAAAAGAAAAAGTGACTCTAGTATTTCCCGTTAAATCGTCTAAATGTCCTATCTGTCTTACTTACGGTTGCTCTGGATGATGTGATATCTACGAGCCGATGTCTCCAGCCACGGCAACAAATGTCTTGGCCACTGTCTTGCCTAATTCCCGAGTCCCGAGCGTCGGGATTTGGCCTGATCTAAGCTCAAAAGAACAACGTGGTTTACATATTTGGTCAAGCTTCATTAGTATCATACTTGCCACTGACAGAAATATGATCGGCAGTGGTGTCTCAACTGCCGCCTACAACCACCCCATGAATTTATCAAATGAGCGGAAAGATGACTGGCGCATTTCAAAGATTGACTATGTCGAAAAAGGAATTCATTCATTTACCAATTTTCATGATTTCAATTCCATGTGATATGTAGGCTAGCGTAGTATGATAAGATCAGTCGGCAGTTGTTGATGTCGTCGACCATAGGACACGTCTGCGGCCGAGGTCCATCCACGGTCCGATAGCGGAGACACGGCGAATCGATGTGCACCCGATTACTCTCGCGGTTGGTTCCGGTCAAGGCTGCCGCTCTGACGACCCCGCATCCTCTAGTCGCCTGACAATCTTCCTCAGTAATAGATCGGTGTATTCTCCATCTGTCGCTGTTCCTGAGGAGTCAAGTAGAGAATTTTTCAGCAGCAAACCGAGCGAATTGCGGATACATCTCACAGACTAGGCGCGAGCAAAAAGAGAACCAACTCTCCGCACAGATTTTGAGCTGCGGCATTGCTCTTCTCATCCCGGAACTCGAGTACCCGAAGATCATCACCAATTTATACTCTTTATCATGGCTGATCTTCAGGATTTGGACAGGCACCTAGCCTCACTACAGGCAAGTCCTGCAACACTGGCTGTTCTCAAGGACCTTCATACCCAGGCTCTCAATGAGCCCCCGTACGTCAGCACAGATAGTCAACCTGCTTCAGTGGCGCTGGAAAGATTCGTGGCCCTGGAGCCGGACAAGTGCGCTCTGGTTTACCTCCTCCTGCGCGCTACGGGGGCAAGACATGTCGTCGAGGCCGGGACCTCTTTTGGCGTCAGCACTATCTGGCTTGCCCTCGCCGTAGGACAAAATGCAACAGCACAAGGTGCCAATGGGAAAGTGATCGCTACAGAGAACGAGCCCGTCAAAGCCAGGAAAGCTCGAGAGCACTGGAACAGGGCGGGGCCTGAGGTTGAATCCTGGATCCAACTTAGAGAGGGTGACCTGCGAGAGACGCTGAAGACTGATCTGCCTGAGGAAATTGACTTTTTATTACTTGACAGTAAGTTTACTTCCCTCCCTGAAAGCTATATGCTGGGCTGCTAGCATACGCCATGTATGGCATGAATCAACCCGCTGAAGACTTGACAAGTCTGGTCGCGGCTTGCGATGCCTACACTCGCTCTTGTGAAGCCGCATCTCAAACCCGGCGCTTTGATCGTCATTGACAACATCATTTCTGGTCAAGCTGGTTACAAGGATCTGATTGAGCATCTGGACGATCCTAAGAATGGGTTCAAGACAACTACGGCTCCATATAATGGTGGTTTGCGAGTAGCTGTATACCTGGGTCATTAGATAAGTTCAGACTTGTAAAAGAGGGCAATTGAGGTGATGGGCAATGCAACCATATGGTTATACATACGCCAAAATATCAATAGCAAGAGGAGCTCCCCGGAGCTTCTGGGCACATTAGGACAGCCTTCTTTAGACATTCACATCCCAAGTTTCTCGTCATGTTCAGAGAGCCTGGACCATTCCCTCATGCTTGACAACCCAAGTTCCGTCTTTCGGAAACCCAGGTGCGTGCCCTTCGGAGCCTTCCCATCCCGCTGCCATATATCCGATCGCTAAGAGGAACCCCCCGTTTCCAGGGAAATAGGGCGGTGGAGATGGACCTATAGCAACCTCGTTAGCCGATCGTGTTGGGACCCGACGCTAGGTATAGTCTCGTGGTACGCAAACTAGGTACACTCGTTCAGCATGCTGCATTACTCACTTGGACCAGACCTATGAGCAAAACCTTGATCACCGAACGCCCAGTAACCGAAATTAGTTAGGTGATATATGGCTCGCTCTGGGTTCCCGATACGCGCCGAGTTGATGGCCAATACGTTTCGGCCCCAGCCTCTGATTTGGGCGTCACCCCACACATCCCATACCTTGTCTGCAGTTCTAACACCGACTTCTGCGTTCACCTTATGCATCTATCGTCAGCTAATGAAGCAAATTGGGAGTCTACCTTGAAACCTCCGTAAGACTTACCAGTGGGGTGTCGGGTACCATGCCTTGCAACATGATGACGCTTCTAGGATCTTTGTTGAGCTGAGGGTTATCCCACCAGGATGCATTTACGCCGCCGCCGATCCAGGGAGCGAACAGGCCATCATACTCAGGAGGGGATGCCATATTCTCTGCCACTCTAGACCACGCTGAGGGGCAATCTTGTTCAAATCTCTTTTTCCAGTTGCACGCTGCATTGAGAGCCCATTGCCAGTAAGCAAGCTCGTAGGCCAAGTTAGAAATCTCTGTAGGGGACGAATTCTCCGTGACACCCTGAATAGGTGGTCCTAAATCATATTTGCCACTCGCGTTGTTGAACCAAGCGAACGATGCCATGTACTGGGCAGTTGACGTGATGGTACGGTCCCATTGTTGGAGAGTCTCCCTGCTTTGGTTGGCTTTGTAGGCTAGTTCGGCAAGATAGATGGGGTGTGGTTGCTGCCATTGAAGATACGCCCTGGTCTCTCCAGGAGCGATGCCCTTGGTAACAAGCTCCGTCATCTTGGGCCATCTAGTTATCCACTCTGATCAGCAGATGAAGATCTCAAAATTGGATGGACCTGTAAATCTTACCTTGCGCCATCCCATCCCATGCGACGGGCTCTTGCCTCAGCGCTAGGCAGGAGATCCTCATAGACAGCAGGGAATATCCGATCAAAGTATTTTGATCTTCCCCAAGTCGCCCAATGAGCACAATGCCAAACGACCATCTCCATGTGAAACTTGCCCCACCACCCGTTATACACCAGACCACTTTCCTGTGGTGGCTGGCCAGTGGCTGCGCTGTTGATTCTCATCGCGTATTGGGAGAGTATGATGCGTCGCTGGAGCTCCGTCGCGTTTGGGTTCGACGACTGGGTGAGATCTACAAACCCCCCTTCTTGCCAGTACCTCTGCCAATCAAGACTGTTCCGCCGGCGAATTGAGGAGGGCAGTGACGGTCTTTGAAGCTTGAGACTATACTGGGCAGTGAAGGACAATCCATTCGCTCTGGTAACATTTTTTCCGAAGGCGGCTGGGAACAGTCCATAGCGATGCGCATTAGTCGTGTTAGAATTCTGTTTCCCAATTCTTCTCAAAGTCAATGGTGATTCCTTGGGCCACCGCAAGTTCTGGTAGTATTGCGTTTCTTGCATTGTGTGATGGATATGAGCTGTGTCATCAGAATCAATTTCGGGTTTAACAATAGAAGTCGTGTGATTGTCCGGGAATCGGTAGCTTCCCATGAACACCTCAAAGTCTGATGTCTTCTCAACCTTGTGGATTGGAGGAAACGGAAAGTCAAATTCGACTCGAAGGGTTCCTTCAAAGATCAATACGGACTCGATGTCGAAAGTAACGGAGTCAGTGTCAAAATCGCCTTGAGTAACCACTTTTACATCCTCACCATCGACCTTGAACGACGAAGTGGTAACACCGTTCCAGAGGTCAAGGACTTGGCGGGGTTCCGTGATCGATGATAGCGTCTCGTTCTTATAACTCAAGCTGATGCGGCCAAGATTGATGCGGTTGGGGTTGGCACTCAACCATTTCGAAATTTCTGGCAGCTTCGGATCTTCAAGGTCGTAGATAACTTCTCTTCCATGCGTAACTACAGGGACCCCCGCATAGTCTTCCAGCTTTTCTCTAGTGAAATACAGCGCCGTATGAGTATCCGAAAGACGCGAGTGTGCAATTGACTGAAGAGCCAAGTTCTTACCCGTTTTGTGGCAACGCATCCTTATGCCATCCCCAGCTGGAAAGTGTGTTGAAAGGTACCAACGATTGCGTACCTGTGATGTCAAAATTGAACGCAAAGTCTCCATTTCCAACTTGAAGAGGTGTTGTGGTATTGTCTATGACTTTAGGCACCTCTGTTCGCACTATATTGAAAGACTCTACGATAGCTTTTCTGTTAACATATCAGTAATGCCATACATGAGAACATGATGTCTTTTCCTAGACCAACAACTTTCTTTCCTCATACCTGTCAATGGCTGCAGCTGCCAGGGCCGGCGCTAGCAAAAAGAATTGCACGAACATCTCACAAGATCATGATACCAATTACTGGCTAGAACTCAGGTGATGATTGACTGAATAGGCATCACTTTGAATACTTCTGAGGATTCGACGGATAAGCGTGCAGATATATATCCGTGATACGGCGAGGTAGAGACGGGTGACTCGGTTCAAGTCTACCCCGAACGCGGGGTTACGGCCCTTGCTGCCGTTCCCAATTTCCAGAGGTCCCACGACGGATCACTCAAGAGACGAATGGGATTAGTTCCGTGGTATCTGTGGTGCAACCCACGCTCTAATGGAGCAAATAAACTTTAATGGGCATGTGAAAGTGCTATTAAACATGAAAAGCTTGAGCTAGAAGATCTAGAGACTGGCCGAAACTGTGATTGTCTTGTCAATGAACAGTCTTACGGTCTCGTTGAATTCCTCCTCTCTTTCCCACAACGGCACATGGCCACAGTCTTTCCAAGCAATGTACTCCGGCCCGTCTCCCAACGCAGCCTTGATTAGCTCAAAATGCGGAAAGGTAATGGTTTCGTCAAAAGTCCCGTGCATCACCAAGATTCGGGTCCTGCCTACTTCGTCCCCTATTCTTGCGAGATCTGCGTCGCTCTTGTGGTGCCATCCAGCGGCAATAGCCTGTAGCACGACGCCTTTTCTCCGAGAAAATTCGGTATCTTCGCAACGCTCTGCGAGTTCCTCTGCCACAAAGCGGTCAAGGTTGGTGGGAAACGTCTTTTCTGGGTCCAGGGATCCGGTGTCCGGCGCATTGAGATACCTCCTAGTGAACAGCCTACTGGCCTTGTTCTTGAGCTCTACGTCAACTGCTGTGGGAAGAAACATGGTGACTCGTTGTTTCATATGCTCGAATGTGTGAACGGTTCGAATCAGGCGGGGAGCAGTAGAGATGAGGATCAGCGATTGCAATCGTTGAGGTATCAGAAGGGCAATTTCTTGCGCAATCATGCCACCTAAGCTGATTCCTGCAATGTTCAAGTCTCGCGGGTAGTAATGAGAATCAGTATCGAGCCAGCCAATGTGCCTCAGTAGTTCGACGAGGTCCTTTGCCATATCCAAGGTGCTGTACCTGCAATTTGGCTTGGCCGACTTGCTCACCCCGCGATTATCAAAGACAAGGGAGCTGTAGTCCTCGCCACGCAGATGCCCAAAGTGTCGATTCTGACGCTTCCACAGGTTCCGGCTACCACCGAGGCCCATGATCCAGACAATTTTCTTTGGTCCTCGGCCGTGAATTTCGTACCACATAGGGAATGGCCCACCTGGACGGGACTCAGCCACCGTCGCGAATCCCGATAGCCTAGGTTTAAGACCCCATTGCGTCGTCTTGTATGCGGGATGGCGAAGAATTTCCTCTGCTGAGAGGCTTGTCGCTTTGGTGGACATCTTGTTACTAATCGATCAAGCCTAAATTGCGGGCATAATAATTTGGCGATTGTTGGCTTCCATGTTATGTCAAGCAGTCAAATATGACGGTCTGCTAAGTCTGGGGATAAATTTGGCTCACCGGGGATTTTTCAATATCGGGACTGGTCATGTCCAACGTGAGCGATAGATCATCATCGGCATGGTCGGTAATGCTCAGTCACTGAAGGTTCGCGGTCGCTCGGATCTGTGTTTCACAAGAACCGAGGCTGATGCCACCAAGACTGGCACACAAGCGCCGATGCTTCAGCCCTTCGGACGACCACAAGGACAACTGGGAGCTTCCAATACTGATGCTCTAGGTTTCAATCGGCACGCTGGGAGCTGCCATGTTCAATCACGAAGGTTGCTCAATTATGGACAAAGTCCAGAAACAACGGTAGACCTGAAGGCTTGAAAAATTGAAGGCGCCCCGACCCAGTATGCCTTATTAGCGGAGGTTTCATGCTGAGATGGCGCAGCTATGGGCTTCAATAACATCCTTTGGCATTCCCAGTGCGACATTCACTTAAGTCTTTGAGATCGGACAGTCCTTTATGCTCTCCGCTCACCTCTATCCCTAACAGTCTTGATACTTGCCAGATGTTGTCAAGTTCTCTCAATCGAAAGTCTCATATTTTGATTGAAACTACCAGAGCATGATAGACTGACATGCACTCATTGGGTTATTCGTTAAAACCCCGCTCACGGCGCGTCTCGTGTCAGCGTCCTTACGCTTGACCTGGCCAGAACATTGACGCCTGTTATTGAGCGCGCTGCCCCTACTCACTTCCAACTGTAGGAGCCCGCGTCGGCCTCGCTGGGAGCCCGGGACCGCCACAATCATACCACAATCATACAGTGACTCGAGGGCCTGCAGATTCACGTCGCGGCTAATAGACGCTTCGTCTTTTGTTGTCCTCCGCAAGGTGAGTCGCCATCTCTCAAGACCGAGCACGTGTCTCACAGGTCCAGCTGTTCATTCAGTCAAAGGATAGCTGCCTCCATTGGCGCCTACAAAGCGACGCGTTTCGCTAAGCGCCCTGTCTGGGGGACAAAGCAAAGGTAGTTGGGGTTGACTCGCTACGACTCAGACAGCCAAGCCTGTCGGCTCCAGTGTTGGACAGCCTACCAGATGCGCGCCAGGGTTTGGAGAATGAATGATTGGATGTGACTGTTCAGCGCTGCAACAGTAATAGCGCCAAAGCTCAAAGGACTGGTGTTACTATTTGCGTTGAACAACATTGTGAGGTTGGACTCATTGGATGTTGTTTCCGCTCAAGAGCAATGGCCTTTGTCCATTTTCATCTTATAAAGATGGTTTTCCTCGTGTCCTCGATGCTGTCTTGAATCATCTTTACTACGACATTTCATTCTTCTCTCCACTACTTGGCGCCTGTGTTTCCTCGGAGTTTTTTAAGTACTTTGCACTGCCGGTCGGTCTCGCCTTTTTTGCATTATTTTCTCGTTACAGCATCGTTCGATAGGCTTCCCGTGGCCATCTTCCAACTTTGCGTCTTCCTCTCCATTTTTGTGTGCTTTTCGCGATCGCATACTTCCAAACTATTTCCGACATACACGTTCTTTCACCTCACAACGACAATGGGAAAGTTCGGAAACGCTATTAAGGCCGGCCAGAGTGCCGTTGAGCTCGGCCGCAACGTGCAGGGCCTCGCCGGCGCCGCCTCCGAGTTCCGTAACGCGGATAAGGCAGAAATGGGTCGCCAAGCCGGACGCGGTGTCTTCAACGAGGGCGCTGCAACGGGCAAGACCATGGGGAAATCATGGCTCAAGACATTCGAAGTCGTACCCCGCCTAGTCTGCCGCGGTCTCCAATTTCTCTTCGCTCTCATCGCCTGCGGCTTCTACGGCAACCGTGTCGACGCTGACCGCAAGGCAAACGATGGCTTCTCGCCGGAATGGATCTTTGCCATTACCGTGGCAGGAGCTTCAGCTATCACGGCTGTTCTCTTCGTCGCTGCCACACCGCTCGGCGCTATTCCCTATGTTGGCAGCAGAATCAAGATCTTCAAGACCTACCGTGCTTTCGCTTGGGACTTTGTCCTTTTCGTTTCTTGGATCGTGGTGTTTGGCATTTTTGCAGCAATTTTCCTTCACAGGGAGAGCGACAACTCATACAAAGGCAGCAAGACGAGCTTGATGAAGGTTGCAGTCTGGATCGACTTGGTCAATGCAATCTTTTGGTTCGTTTCTGGTGTTTACGGCTGCATCAAGACATTTTTAGGAGACAAGACGGACGCAATGACCGACAAAATTGGTCAGAAGTTATTTGAGAAGAAGAAAGCTAAGGAAGTGCCTGCCAAGGAGGCGGGCTACGCCGAGAGCGTATAATGCGCCAGCTACATACCACATAATTGTTTAACAACAATTCGATCCTTCAATCACCGCACTAGATTTAGCTGTAGAAAGAGACTTGATAAGATATCACTCAACGTACACAAGAGCGACACTCAACCAGTCCTGTACAGGGCCATTCGCTGACTCGTTGCGTTCTCCTCATTCCCAGCTGTCGTACTAGATGTTCCTAATCGACTACTGCTAACAAGAAGCCGTCCAAAACCGTGTGACCCTCATGGACCGTATGCGCGGTTGATATCATGGGAACAACCGTCGCCGTGACTCTCTTATCCTTTCCGACGTGGGTCAACAAGGACTCTTTCCCCTCCTTCGCCTTATCTTGACCCAAGATGTTCCACACCACATTATCGACGTAGATGCATCCCTTCGGTCTGGTCAATTTCACTGCCCAGTCAAAGTACTTCTCCTGCTCGCCCCATGATGCATCGCAAAACACCATGTCAAACTTGCGGCCCTCTGCGGCCAGCTTGGGTAGGACGTCCAGAGCGGATCCGAGTATGATCTCGACGTCGAGCCCCGAGACATTATCAAGGGCTACATCGCGATGCTTTGGGTTGATCTCAATGCTAGTGACTTTCGCTCCCGCTTCGGCGAGCCAGATGGTCGAATACCCGCCGAGGGTACCAATCTCGAGAACTTCCTTGGCGCCTATGAGCTTACACTGGATGGCGAGAAATTGGCCTTGGAGCGGGGCAACAGTGATCTCTGGTAAGTTGTGCCTCTGAGAGTTCGCGATCGCGCTGTCCAATTTCCCGTTTGGTGGGAGAAGATTTGTTCGAGCGACGCTTTCGATGGCATCCACAGCCGCGACGGTGTTTTGCTCCTCATTGGACATCATGGTGGCGTTTTAGGTGATGGTTTTCAGTTATGACTGTTTGTTGTGTCTCCAAAATGACTCCCCATCACCGTCGCTGGCGGGGCCGGACTTAAATACTTGCCCACGTTGGTACGCTTGGCCTACCTTTACTAGCAGATGGGGTAGACGAAGCACTTTACTAAAGGTACGTCAAGTAGAGTATTTGAAGCTCGGAAACCGAGCAAAATTGCTTCGGCGAATTGCACTGCTTGGGAACTTTTGCTCTTGCATCACACGCTATCGAGTTTGGAGTACATACCTACAACACAGCTTCCAACGGGTTCGGTCCGATCGGCCGCCGAGATCTATACGAATCTACGAAGAACCCCCTCTCGCGTTCAACGATGCATGCGAAACCGCCGAGATATGCCACTGACTTGCGAAGAATCAGGAAGTTTATCACAGACCGCGATTGGACATTTCATGCATCTGATGCAAGGAATTATCAAGTATTACACAGCGGCCCGGACCAAGTATAAAAGCCGGTTCCGGTCCGTCCACCGTGGGGCCGCAGAAGTAGCTCAGACCGAAACGCGACGAGCGGGGCCGAGACGGTGTGGGGGAGGAGTTTTGCTAGGCAAGCCAAGGTTTCCTGAAGATGCAACACCGCATCGCACACAAGTGTGGTGATGACTTTCTGGAGCGATGGAACAAGGAACTAGTTCATGCTCAAATACCTCAATGTAAGACGGTATTTGAAATATTACCTCGCTCTCGGTGAGTCTGTCCAACTCAGCACGAGCTGAAGACTGGTGACAACATGCACGTGCCCGGCCCGGCTCATGCCTCCATGTCGTTACCTCCTACCGTCTTTACACAGTACTTTCGCACACGAAATAGATGGGAAACAAAATCTATACAATTTCTTCGATGTCTAAGAGAGTTAGCTAGATTGCAACTGAAAAAGTCTGAGTAGAAGAAGGGTCTATTGGCTTCAAGGTATACCACCAAACACAGGTTGAGCTGTCACGCAACTACGCCAGAGTATCAGTTGAAGGGGAGAAGAGAAAAGACAGAATCGTTTTGCCCAGAGGCCAAACTGGGTACGATACTGGAATTCTTTTTCCCGGAGCAGGGTCAGCAATATTGTCACATGGTACGATAAAGTTTTCTCAAGGCTCAATATCAGAGGTCTTCCATCCTACGGGGGTGTCCAATGAGGTATTTCTAAAGGTGGGCAAGATCGATTCTGCGATAGAATCGTGTAAACATCTTGTCCTAGAGGCCTCCAGTAACACATGTAGTGCCGAGACCTAGTAGAATCCGTGTTGATGATCGCGAGTGCGACATCTTCGATCCTTTGGGGTTATGGTCAACAGCCTTCAGCTAGCAACAAAGAGACTATGCCTTAATGTCAACACGGGGATAATTTCGCAAAAAATTGCGAGAGATCTTAGATGTAGCGATGAGGCTAGCGGGCCGCATTTGGTGCCCGCGGATTGCGTCCGGCGCTAGAAGTCATAAGGTCCACTTCGTATGAGAATAAGGGGGTCACTCAATGCATCTATCTCCACCAGAAACCTCATCGCAAACCAGGCACAAAATTCGTGCAGTGCCACCA